TCCGCGGGCCACCGTGGGGTAGTTAATGGCCTGGACGTAGATGTTGTAGCGGCTCATCATGATGTCGCACACCTTCGAGTTCTTCTCTGCGTCTGCCACCTGACGGCACACATTCGTGTCAGTGGCGCGCTCTGAGTGAGATTAGTGTGCATGCACGCAGGAGTTTAGTACGTACTCTGATGGGGATGATGTGGCTGGGGCAGTGCACCACCGGCAGGCCCGTGTCCAGCAGCATCTGCCGCAGCTGCGCTGGTGTTTGCGGCGGAGCGCGAGGCCCTCCTCACTCTTCAGGATCTGGATGGACTCGCGGGCTCCAGCCAGCAGCATGGGCGGCAGAGACGTGGTGAAGATGAAGCCGGCGGCGTACGAGCGCACCGTGTCCACCAGAGCGTTAGTGCTGGCGATGTAGCCGCCCACACAGCCGAACGCTTTCCCTGCGCAAACACACCAGAAGAGCGGTCAGAGCAAGCTGACGTGCCATCTACAGGAAAACAACTACAACACAGCTGTGAGACTGAAAGAGAAGTCTGGACGAGCAAAACAACTCACACACTGACAATCAATGGTCCCTCTGGTCATCATCATCACTGATCACAAGCTAATCCTGGAGGCTCTTTTAATGAATCAGGCTCAAACTATATGACTGAGTGAGATTATCAAATCACAAAGACTGAGATTTAATGAAATAATTATATTCACTGCATGCTTTAAAGAGAAGCGATAAAGCCATAAATATTAGTATTATAATTTTACAGCACTAATTTTATTTAAAATATTAAAATTACTAAGCAAAAACAAAATAAATATTACCATTACAATATTTCACTGTAAAAGAGTGTTTAAAACATAAAACACATTTTTCATACTCCTTTTTTAAATTGTACAGTGAAATCATAACAGTAACAGTAATTTAATAGTAATAATAGGCAAAATTTAAATTACTAAATAAATTACTATTACAATTTCACTGTAAAATATTTCTTACTCATTTTTTTTTACTTTACAGTCAATTACAACGACAATTTCTACCTTTGCTTTTATTTATTTTCTACATTTATTAATAATAATATTAATAATATTGTTGTTATTATAGCCATATTATATAAACAAAATTTTGGCTAAAATTGTGTGCAGCCCTACAAACAAGCATAGCAAACCTGGATTAAAAGAATAAAAATGCAATCATGATTTTTATGAGAAAAATCACAAACTGTGCAGCCCTGGTGTCGAATGACTGCTTATTATTTAGCATGTTTTTAGGTAAAGTGCACTGGATTCTGCTCAACGGATTACAGAGGACATGAATGAACAGGTGTAGTTGGTGTTGTGAGGGAGTATTCAGTAGCTCAGCCCAGCTGACAAAAGGCCATTCAATAGCCTTCAGGGTAATTCAATGAGAGCGAAGCAAGAGCGCTGGTCTCTAAGCAACAGGAGATGAGCTGGAGCTCTGTGTTTCCTCGAGAGCATTGAGTGACAAGCAGCAGAGCGCCATTAAACAGGCCAACTCACCCAGAGTGCCAGAGATGATGTCCATCTTGTGCATCACTGCGTCCCGATCCCCAATGCCGCCTCCTCGGGGGCCGTACAGCCCCACCGCGTGCACCTCATCCACGAACGTGACGGCGCCGAACTCGTGGGCCACGTCGCACATCTCCTCCAGCGGACACACGGCGCCTGACGGCACAAACGAGAGTCTCCGTGAGCACAAACTCACCTCAGCTCAGAGCACAACAGAGAGCCTGTGACCGACCGTCCATCGAGTGCACCGTCTCAAAGGCCACGATCTTGGGAGCGGAGGGATCCGATTTCTCCAGCAGCTCACGCAAGTGCTTGGCGTCGTTGTGACGGAAGATAAACTTCTTGGCGCCGCTGTTCCTGATGCCCTGAATCATTGAGGCGTGATTGCTCGCGTCTGAATAGATCTCACAACCTGAGGAGAAACAACAGAAGCGCAGCTCTCAGAAACCTGACCGTCGGAACAGGGGAAATATAAGCACGATAGGAATAGAAATGGAAATACTAAAGCAATAAGCCCCGTGAAGCCGTGGTTTACAGTGAAT